AGATTCTCTGAAATTTTGTGGAACTAAAATATTTGTTATACCTTTGTCATTAGATGGTGTTATATTAAGTGTATGGTTGCAAGAGAAAAGAATAACAAGGATTAGAGTGAAATAACGTTTGTTGTTGGTAGAGGGTACAGGAATAAGGATCAGGTGTACGCATAATGTCAGGAGTTGAATGATTTCTTAAGCGGGTTAGGTAGTCCCAAGGAGCATCTCTTTTATTGGCATGAATGATCTTGATTGGCCACCTCCAGAGTTCACTTTGTAGACCAGATATGGTGCATGGAGCCCAATGTACAGAAGACAACTTTTGTTATTTCATCTTCTGCCTTCATGGTGGTCACATCTGGCCAGCATGCAGTATAAATCAGAATGAGATCTAATTGTGATGAAATATATGACTTGAAAGATCAGAGTGGACAATTCTCTATTTTTAGGCAGCTCTTTCAGGTGGAAGAATAAAGACAAACTCCTGCTTGGTGTGTAACAATAAAAGGAAGAAAATGTTTATTTACTTGCACAAAAAAGGGTATAAGGATATACACAATTACAAGAGAAAAAAAGCAAGAAGAAAATTCCATTAACTTTAAAGGAAGAAAAAACTGTTCATAAAAAGAAAAGGCTTGCTCAAAATATTTTTCTGAGTGACTAAAAAAGTTCTTTAAGTGAGTAGTAGATTGTTGTTAAAGGTTAAAACACTCACAGATTTATTCAGGTTTTTGTATAGAAGGAAACTGTCAGAACATATGAATTTCATAGTTGATTGAGTTCGTAGGCCAGCAACAGATATCTTCTAGGTGCAAGGAGGCAGATCTCAATTGGTTTTTAGCAGTGGGTCAACATTCTTTCTCGACAGCTCATAGTAGGTAGTTCTTTCTTGAAGATGACTGTTTTTCTGTTGCTGACCTATCACAGATGGTGGTCGAATACTCACTGCCAAATAGGCAAAGAGTTTCCAAATATATTGAGATCAAGAGGCTCAGAAATACCGAGTACTTTTCCCTCCAAAATTGCTATATAAATTTCCTAACCTTTTCATTCATTAGAAAATATGTTCTTTGATAAGAACAAGGCTTTGGGAGCTAGCAAGAGTCCAACAAGCTGCAAGCACTTCCCCAGACTTCATGGCATCAATGACAGGATAATGATATTCAAACTCCTTTTTATATTTTGCAGCTCTCTCGTTTATCAGAAAATATATTCTTCTCTGATAAGAATCAAGGCTTTGGGAGCTGGATTTGAAAGCAGAGAAAAACAGTTGGGATGAGAATTTGAAAAGAGGCTAGAATGTGAACATTGTAGTCATGGTTCTCAAATTGAATTCTAATACAATGGTATTATCAAAATTTTGTTCAATCACAAATATTACTTGTGAATGCATGGTGCCATCTGTCTTATCAGCATGCAATTTTTTCAAAGTGGTGAATATTATTAATTTATTAATCTTAGCATTGAAATTGGAAGAAAATAGAAAACAGTAACACTTTCCAGTATTATATACTGGGATTAAAAAAAAGTGTGTGCATTCTTTGAGTAACAAGAATTTAATAAATGACTAAATAATTTTTTTCTTTTCGAAATTATTTTTTTGTTTTCTCTGATACCATTCCGCCTTTTTATTCACCATTTTGCGATTCACTCTAAAACAATAAATTAAATACCTTCGTTCTCAAAGTATAGTTTTTTTATCAAATAAAATTGATGTAAGGGAAGTAATTCCCAATTCACTTTCATTTTTTTTTTTATTCTAACAAACAAAAATAACTCAATTTAAAGAAATACATTTTTCTTCTAAAGACCTAAATAAGATGAATATGTATTTTATGTTAATATTTAGAACAAAATTTTACTTACAGAATATTTTTATCCAAGAATCGTCTTGGGAAGAAGGCTTGAATGTTGCTTAGCAACACAAAGCAAGATGGCTAACTCGAACAACAACAGTATGAGGTGAACGTCATAGTGAGTAACATAATGTTTATTTCGAAAACAAAATTTACACGTCCGTTTTTTTGTTTGTTTTTTTGCACGTTACATATTTTATGTGTTTATAATTCTGTTTAAATATTTGAAGGAAGTATACATCGAATTATTTAAAAAAAATAATAATTTAACGTCTTTTTAAAAACTGAAAAAAAAAGTTTTCTTTTAAATCTTTTTGTAGTTTTGTTTTGTATTTTATTTTTTTAAAAGTTATAAGTTAAAAATTATGCCAAAAAATAAAACAAAAAGCAGAAGTATTTTTTTGTTATAATTTCATATTTTTCTTTTAGGCGGTGTCGTGGGGATACCTATTATAATTTATAATTGATTTAAAAATGTCTTTCATTTTTTGTATACTTGACTTACCTGCATTTGAGGGAAAAAAAGTCAATTTTTGACGATAAAACTTTTTTTTTTATTAAGTTTGTGGCCTTTTTCATTACGCATTGTGTTTTCCGCGAAAAAGTGGAGGAAACCTAGTCAGACAGAACAATATTCAGAACTTGAATTGTTATAATTTTTTAATTTAAAATGTAACATAAATCTATTTTTTATTTTTAATTTTTAAACCAGAATCATAAATCATTTATTCTAAAGTCGATAAGAATTCAATATAAATTTTAAATTTGAAAATATTTTTTTTATGATCAATACATTTATTTGTAAATTCATATCAATTTAAGATTCATATTGATTTGAAAATTTGTTTGTGCCTATTTATTTGATGAAATTAACTGTTATATTCATTTATAATACTAAAATACTATAATCATAATTCATAATCACTGATAGTGATGATGTTTGTTTAGTGAATTACTGATTAATTAGGTAATATATTCACCAAAGATAATTGTTTTGTTCTTTTGTCAAAAATTGCCAAAAAGAGGTAATTAAAAAAATTTATGATGTTCTATGAAAAGGAATAGTTTTATATTTCAAATGCTAATATGCTATAAATTTAATCAAATAATTTCATTCTTATATTGGATAAGTTAAAAATCATTTGAAATTGATATTTGGTTAAAAAAAAATCTTCAAATAGGAAATAAAACTGATCAATTGTTGATAAGGATAAAATTGTGATAACTATAAAAAATGAGTTCATTCCCATGATCTCTGCCAACATCCAAGAAAAAACTAAAACTGTAATTTTTATATATAGTAGTTTGTTGGTTCAGAGAATTTACAAAATTGATTTTTATTCTTCATTAAGATTTTCCCTCTCAGTGATTTTTAGTGATTGATATTCAAATCAATATTATTAAAAAAAAAAAAAAAAAAAAAAAAAAAAATTACTCTAGATTACACCCTGACATTATTGGAATATTGACTTGAGTTCTCATATGATCACCAAAGTCAAGCAATGTCAAGCCTGTTCAGTACCTAGCTGGGGGACCACTTGGGAATACCAGGTGCTGTAAACTTGGATGTGCAGATGGTGTAACAGATAACAGCTTTGAGTTGGAAATTCAAGTTCCACTTCTACTTTTGTTTGTTAAATTCACTTACACACCCTTAGGAAAGATATGGTGATTTTTTTCATAATGTAGCTTAGATGTGGAAAGGCCAAAAGTATGGGGCACACAGTGAGGATTGAATTCACTGTTCTGTTGTAATTGATCGAGCAAGACAAACTTACTAACCATTACACCATGTCAAAGTGCCCCCCCCCCTTGGAAAAGACATAAACCCATCTCTTTTCCCTCCCAGATTATGAGTTAATTAGTGGGACTTGTATCAGTAAATCATTATTATCTCAAAAAAAAAAAAATTCTTCTACTCTAAAAATTTTCTGGCTTTAAATAACCTACAAAAGCTTGATAAGCCATAAAAAACAATCAATCAAGTGCTTTCTATTTTATCTAAAATTGTCTTCTTTTATGTGCTGTGTCCCTTCAAGACATGGGTGATCATGACTGTCTACAACTTCTAATCCTTTGATGCTCTTAGCAGTTTTTGACCCTTTACTATCTCTCAGTTTTTGTTCTGCTATCTATTTATGCAGATTCATTAGGTAGGTTATTCACTGTTTCTCTTTGCTTCTCTTGCATTCAATATGTCCTGTGAGTGCCAAATTCTCCGACCCTTCTTTCTTTATTATGCATCCTAGAGATTTCAATTCTTGCTTTCTGATTCTAAGTACACGTGTCCTTTCTTTAAAACTTCCTTTTGGCTCACATGTTCTGTCCATGTTATTCTCAGCATCCTTCTGTAGAATCTCATTTTTGTTGCCTCAAGTCTTCTATTCATCTGTGAGGAAATTGTCCAGCATTTACAGCCATATAGGAGGAGTAATATTGCATAGCAGTGCAGCACTTGCTGATTCTAATGGAATTTTCCTCTTAATAATTTGTATTTTGGAAGACATTTTTGGCTATTCTAGAGCACATTAGGATTTTGGTGTCATGCTTTCTGTCATCTGTTATAGCACTTCCCAGATAGTCAAATCTTTGCACTTGCTTGATTCTGACATCTCCAAATTGTAGTTCACAGGACTAACTGTAAATAAATAAAAAACATTGCCTTATCTTTCAGAAAAAAACTGACAACTTCCAAGAATTTAGAAATATACAAGTAATTTTTAGGCTGGTTTTATATTTCTAAAAAAAATTAATGTTAGATCTTTAAAGATTTTTATGGTTATTGCAACCAAATATTAAAAAATTCATAACTTAGTTTAAATATCAAATATGAACTGTCTTAAAATGAATCAATATGTACCAGATTCTAGGACTGGTAATTGATGGTATATTGATTATAAAATTAAAACTATTATGGTTTTTATTTCAGAATTTGGAACGCAATATGGAGAAATTGTTTAAAAATATTTTCAAAATTTTCTTTCTTTTCAGATAATTTGTAATCTAATTACTAGATAGCTAGTGTATGTCATATTTTTGTAAATTGCTAAAAGTAAAAAAAAATTTTCTTCAGGTTCAGCAAGGACAACATAAATGAAAATTTTTCTAAATGAAAAAGTAAATGTCATGGGACTGTAAGATTCTTCTGCAACTATGCCTAGCAGTAACACTGACTTTACACAGAGTACAATGGAACCAGTTATTGTCCAAGAAATTGAACAAGACAGCAGTGAAATAAATATATTTACTAAAAATAAACTGCAAGATCCCTATGATGAAGACGAGGTTAGTATTATTTCATGTTGATGCATATATTTCCTACTTAACCTCTTGTTAAAATTTTTTACTATATGTATATCTAGAATAAAAGAATGCATATTATTCTTAATTTTATTTATTAAAATTTGATGAAATAATACAGGTAAGCATTTTTATACTATACTAGCAGTAGAGCCCAGCGTTGCCCGGGGATATAACAGTAAGAGATAGATCAAGTATCCACCATCATAAAGATTGAAAAATAAAATTGACAAAGATTATTGTTTAAGGTTGATGGACACGCATGTCTTAATTATTTTTTTTTTGTTTTTTTTAAGAATTGGTCAAACCCAAACTCAAACAAAAACATTGTTTTCAATCGTTAAGAGTCTCTACCGATTGAATAGAATTTTATTATAAACAATTGTCTTGTAAATGGAATTTTTAAAGCATTCTGAATGTAAAAATAAAGAAAAAAAATGTGCAAGACAATAAGAAACACTACATGCCAAAAAAAAAGTGAAGTTTTGTTGAAATCGGTTGAAAAATGTAGGTAGCCTTTCTGTAATCTTTTAGTTTTTACAATTTATGATTTTTACTTATTGAATACAGTAAAAAAAAATTGCATATTTTGCTTGTGGTGATTCATAATTAGAATTCTGATTTGAATATATTTTCCACTCATTGTTTCTAATACAAAAATATTAACTTTATTTGGGTTTATTAATTATGATCTAACAAATCTTATTCATTTATTAGCCTTTCTGTAATAATAATCTTTTACAATTTATGATTTTTACTTATTGAATACAGTAAAAAAATTGTACACCATGTCTATTTAAAGTAGTTTCCGGTTATTATTTTTAGTTAAGACTTGTATATGTTTAGATTTCATTATCTTTCCCTAAAGATAAAGAATTTATCCGATGTTTGTATTCGTACAATTAGTAGAGATCGTTAGATTATTGTTTAAGGTTGATGGACATGCATGTCTTAATTATTTTTTTTTTTTTTTTTTTTTTTTACGAATTGGTCAAACGCAAACTCAAACAAAAACATTTTTTTCAACCGTTATGAGTCTCTCGATTGAATAGAATTTTATTATAAATAATTGTCTTGTAAATGGAATTTTTAAAGCATTCTGAATGTTAAAAATAAAGAAAAAAGTGTGCAAGAGAATAAGAAACACTACCTGCCAAAAAAAAAAAAAGTGAAGTTTTGTTTTATCGGCTGAAAAATATAGGAAATGCGATCCCATATTTAAAGGAACCCACACACACAAACAACCCAATGTGAGTTGTTCCCCTTCCATTTTCACGATGTCTCTTAATCGTGTTTTCAAATTGGTTTTGTGCAAAAACAATTATATTTTTCCCATTTTTGGCGCTGTTAGAACCACCACAAGGTAATTTTATGTAGTCCTGTGAAGTTTTGTTGAAATCGGTTGAAAAATGTAGGAAATCCGATCCAATATATAAACGTTACAGACACACACACACACAATCTGCGTTTTATAATAAGTAAGATTTCAATATATAGTTTATATTTTTAGTATAATCTTTGTTTTATTTGTGTACATCAAAATAATCCATTTTCTTTGTTGCTTTAGTTTGCTTCATTAAATTCTCATTACTTAAAAAATACAATACCATACATTTATTTTTATTATTTCACTTCTATATTTATTATATATTATAGTGTAGATACTCATTTTGTTTGTTTTTATAAATGTATAACTTTATGACAATATTTTTTGATACAATTATGAAAAATTATATTTTCCTATTGTGGAGTCAGTCTGCCTGGAATTCAGATGAAAAATAAAATCTGAGTGTCGTGCCCACAAACACAACACAAATATAAAAACAACACAAAGAAGTGATCTTTGCAGAAAAAGAAGACCAAGCTAAATATAACAATAACATTTTTACAGGCAGGTACATATATTTACATGTTAAAAATCAATGTTCTTTGTTGTGGCCATGAAGAGACCAATAGTTCAATTGTTTGAAATGATTTATTGCAAGTGAGTTTGCAAAGTTTGAAGAGGTTTTGTTGCAAGTGAGGGAAAAGAGCAGTATTATATGTCAATATGTGTGTGCATGTGTGAAGCACACGCTAATGAAATTTGTGTGACTGCTGACTGTGTGTGATAGCAGTAATTTTAAACATGGTGAACAAAGAGAGAGGAGACAGGTCTTATTTTTGTCACAGTTTTGTTTTTCAACATAGAAAAATCATTGCTGACTGATCTGTTGTCATGGTAACGTATGTCAAGGCAGGGCCTTGTTCATTGACTGTTCTTGCCTGTTGCTGGCAATCCGTTTTTATCGCTAATGGTTAGCCAGTGCTCAGCTCTGAATCCTGTCTAAGTTTTGCATGGGAATGTACTCAGTAACCTGAGCCCCAACCCGTTTCCAGTTTATCTGGAGTTCAATTACATGGATGTCGGAGAAAGTATATCATGTGACTTGTTCTATCCAATCAGATTCCAGTAACTACTTTTTAATTTGGAGTTCTGTTTGTACAGAATTGTAAAAAAATTTTGAATGTACTGAATTTAGTAAGATTTATTTGTAGGCAACTCTTATTTGTTTGTGCTTCACTTATTGGTCATAAAATATAGGAGTTTATATCCTATACTATCTAAAACTTTATATTTTGGTTTGTTTCAGTAGTGATATATTTTCTGAATATTTTGATGCACTTGAATAAGCAGAAAAGTATCATGTCAAGTTTCTTCAAACTTCTCTATGCATTAAAAACGTTGCAGTTTTATTTAACATACAAAATAAATCCATTTCAAAGGCATTGCTTATCATTAAATTTTAAAATACCAACACCATTCATAATTTTAAAGATATGAATAGTCATAATATTTGAGTAAATTTCTGCGGAGAATTATTATGTGCTTGGATTATTCAAAGAAAAATTTAGTAATAATGTAAATTTATTAAAATTCAAAAATTAGCCTTTACTATGAATATTTTTGATAGTTTATGGCAATCATAATTAAGAAACAACATCAGAGTGGCAAATAATTTAAGCCAGACACTTTCTTTAAGTCAAACTTTTTCACCTGTTTCATCTCCAAATACTTTCAACCGTTTGCAAGCAAACAGACAACACCAATGCTTACATTTGTTCACATCTCAAAAGAATCAGAAACTAAGGATTCCTCTTTACTTCAACCTTTAGATATACACTGCATGCCAAATTATTATCGGGATAACTTTTTTCTAATATTTCAAAAACCGTCCAATCAATTCACACAAAATTTGCACACAATGTTGGCAACACTGACCTGCGCAATCACTGAAATTTTCTTACTGATCTGAAAACTATCACCCCAGAACTTTCAAAAGGTAAATCTACCCTAGAAATTTCTAAAATGATAGGGAGGTGGCATCAAACAGTGAAAAAGTTCACTGCCGACCCTACACAAGTACGCAAAAGGGCAGATAAAGGCAAGCCGAGGGTTTTTCACATCGTCTCATGTCACGACTTAAATGAGAGGCCACGAAGAATCCTGGACTTACCAGTCAAGAGCTTTTCAGTCGCATTGGGGATCCTACTGTGTCTAAAAGTACTCGGTGTCGGTATCTGAGGGAAATAGCAACAACAGTCAAACCTGTATCGAAGCCCCCGTTGACTAGAAATCACATTCAAAATCGATTGAAATGGGTCGAGGACAATATGAAGATTGACTTCTCTAAAGTTTTGTTCACAGATGAAACTCAAGCAACACTTGATGGGCCAGATAGATGGTGCAAAGTCTGGGTAATGAACGGGCAGAATCGCCATCAGCGTTTGAGACGCCATTAAGGTGGTGGAGGCATAATGATCTGGGGTGATATTATTGGAAAAACATTAGTGGGCCCATGGAGAGTACCAGATGGCGTCAAAATGACTGCTGATGCATACATAGCATTTATGAAGGAGCTTCTTGAACTGTGGATGAAAAGGCAAAGAGTTGCCTTCAGAAGGGCCATTGTTTTTATGCAAGATAATGCTCCCTCACATGCTGCTCACAAGACTACTGAATGTTTGAAACAGTTAGGCTTCGATGGACCTCGAAAAAGGAAGTGGCCAGCAAATTCTCCGGATTTGAACCCAATCGAAAACCTTTGGAGCATCATGAAGCAAAGACTGTACGCCAACAGACGAAAGTTCAGGAGCAACACTCAGTTGCGGGAAGCAATTCTTGACATATCTTGCAGCATTACAGCAGATGACATCCTACAATTAACAAATTCTATGGATTGTCGACTTCTTCAAGTAATTTCAAAGCAGGGAAAGCACATTCCCTATTAATTTGTTTAAAACTGTGCCTTTGTTTGTATCTGTTATTATTTGTTTGATTATCTTATTTATTAGCTTCTTTTGATCATAAACATTCACGTACAACATTAATAAATGTTTTGTTTGATCATTTCTGGGAATTTTACTAAACCTTTCTAATAATTTGGTACGCTCAAATCACCATGCTGATAACAAATATGGCGCTAGTTTGTTTACATTGCACAGATCAGTACAAAAATTTCAGTGATTGCGCAGGTCAGTGTTGCCAATATCCTATTTCTGTGTGTTAATTATTAATAAAACATTATAAATTACTTTCTTTTTATTTTATAATAACAAATATATTATAATTATTTATCAAATAAATATTATTTATGATAACATGGGTCTGTAAGATAGTTTAGATAAGATTTTGAGCCCCCTATAAAAAAAGGTTTAAGAAACATTGAACTATTCCTTCCAAATGGTGAAGAAATATTAAATATTCTTTAATATAAATTAATAATTTTATATTTTAGAGTATATTGTATTAAAGCTATTTTTACATTCAGAAAAATAAAAAATGAATTTGTAGATTATATATGAATTTAATGAACTTTTGGCATTAATGGGCAATCCTTCCTCTAAAAGTCCACAAAATCAATGGTTAACTGTATATTGATATATATTGTATCCATCATTAAAGAACTAAACGCTATTAAATTTGGTATGATTTTATATCAATATATCCACTTGAAAAATGCTAGAATCCAGTATTATTAATATCATTCACTGTAGCAAGTGGAATATTCATGATATATTCTTCAGTTGATCCAAAGAGATAAATAAACTTCCTATAATTCTGAGAAATTCACTGTAATACTTATCAAATAAAGTTTTTTCATTGTTTTTGTATCAATCGAAAAAATATATCATGAGTTATTAGTTATTATCCAGCCTGTTTGGAGAGGCAGTGAGGATTACAGTGGTTGTCTTCCTTCATGACATGTGAATTTCAAGTTTCACTTTTTCCAGACACTTTTAATAAGTTTGTCTGATACTAATTAACATTTAATTAAGTACAGTTTGTTTTGCCTGCCATTGACAGATATTTATAAATTAGCAGTTTTTGCTTGGTCACATTTTAGTAACTAGTTTTACTTCTTTCTAGTATAACAGGTATTGTTCAGAATCAAATTGTTTCTTCACTAATGGTTTTGCTACCCAACTAGTAAACACTCAGATCTTTGTTGCCTAACACAGAAATACTTATTATCAGTATATCAGTGTGGAAAATTACTATTAAACATATTAACCACATGCAATGACTTCCTCACCCTTGTATTTTTCATTGTGTCAACAAGAGTTACCGTCTCTATTTTAAACTTGTTCTGTCACCTCTTAATTGCTGTTGTTTCCATGTCAATCCTGACCTTGGGTGGTGGCAGCTATGAACCTCCAAACTGGGATCAAAACACTATGAAAGTATAAAAATAAATTTTTATAGCAAAAATACCAGCAATACATTTTTATATAGTAAAAAAATTAACAAAGTTCCTATGAAAATTAAATTTCAGCATTAAATGACCCATAAAGAGTTGATATGCTGTTAAACCAACCAACCAATCAAACCACTAAATTTGTTCTGTATTTTCTGATAATATAAAATGTGGGTTTTTACCATTATCAGTTTTGTTTGGTATTTGCTTAGTGGTCAGTTTCTGATAAAGATTACCTGAAATAAAAAAAATAAATATTTGATAAAGTTTACCAAACAAGAGTTGGCAATACAAACCAAAAGAAAATGAAATGTATGATTACAAAGATAGTGGTGATCACTGTTTGCTGCTCTAGGGTAGCTTGGTGGTTACAGAACTGAACTGATACTTGTGAAATCTGTGGATCAATTTTTGATGCAACGATGATGTAAACTGGTATGACAAATGAAAATAAAGTTTTACCATTAAGAAACACTCATGGATACACAATAATATAATTGATCTTTTTTATATTTTAACACTCTTTTGAAAATATTTGCAGTTTTGCACATTTTAGTATTTTTATTAACTTGAGAAAAATTAACAAGTGAAAAATAACTGTATACATTAATCTGAAAGCTTTAAAATGTCTTAAACAGTTTTTAACTAGTCAAAGAAATAAAAAAAAACAGTTTTTAACTAATCAAAAAAATAAAAATCTATAAATAAAGCTTTATTTATAGATCTTTATTTTATAAGGTTTGAGAAGTATGTCTACACACAATTCAACTTGAGCATTAATACTGGAATTATTTTTACTTATTAATATGCACTACAAAATTCTGGGAAAAACATCTTGTGCATAATATGCACTAACTTTTTAGAATTTGTAGCAGTTAAATTTAAACTACATTTAACATTTGTTTAACTTTTTATCTGATTCATATGAAGTAAAAATATTAATTTATATTGTTTACACTATGTTTTGAAGTTCAACATTTACAGAGTATATAGAGAAAACACCGAGAAGTCACTCACTCCAACAGGCTACATTTGTTGACCATAGCTTTCATGAAGATTGGAAGAGCCTCCCTGAAATGATTTTGGCAAAGTCATTAAAAACTTACTGCATCATGAACACATTAGACAATAATAAAAATGACATCCTTTTTGAGGAAGAAAGACAAAATGATTCTATAGAAAATGATAACATCAAATATGTTAAAGACATCTACTATGCTGACAATGTAGCTGAAACTATCATGATATCTGTCTTTGATACAGACAGCAACGAAGCAGTCTAAAATGTGCTTAATATCTATGGAAATAATTTAAAAAAGTAAACACAGTGTTTATTTAGTGATTTAAACTGTTTTGCATTAGTTAGTTTTGACCATGGATAGAACTTACTTTCAGTCATATTTATTGTCCTCTCTTCTTAATAGTAGCTTTTTTTTATATTCTCTAATACTCAGTAACCTCTTGCATCCTAGTGGCTTTATTGCCTTGCTTAGGATGAAATGATTAAATATATATATATATATATATATATATATATAATTTTGAATATGTCAATGCATGTGGCTGGAAAAAAGTTAATATTTAGTTATCATGTATAATAATGTTTAGGCAGAAAAATCTGGGAAAGGTGGGTATTATACATGTATAATTACAGAACTAATTATTACAAGCTATTTTTTCATAATGACTATTCAAATGATTCTAATATCCTTTCCCAAACTGTTTATATTTGTTTTCAGAGTGAACAAAAATTCTTGCTTTCCAAACCGACTTGCTTCATCATCATTGGGAAACCTGGCTGTGGAAAGACAACTTTAGCACAAAAATTGGCTCAATTTTGGAAATGTGAACTTCTAAATGGTAAGTGCTTATTTTACATAGTTTGTTGGCTATTGTCTTCATTATCAAAAGCATTCAATGACTGTGACATTTTATTATATAAAAGTAATAAAACATTCTCCCACGTAGAATAAAAAATCTTCAAATGAAAAGTTGTATGTTTTATTTTTTATTTCTTTATATATATTTTCTTTACTGTCTCAAAATTTTTTAAGTCACAAAAGTTTTACATAAATATTTGTAATATGATGGAGAAATGGACAAATAAGTAATTGACAAATGATGTATGAAGTTCATTACAGACTTATGCTAATTCATTGTCAATAGATTCTACACTATACACAATTGATACCAATTTTGATAGGGTTGAAATCATATTTACTATTGAGTTGATACCTCCACAAAAGTCACTGGCCAGTGCTAATCAACAAAAACCATCTGCTGTACTCAGGACAGATTATTTCTATAATTATGAGCAATATTCAAAAAGTAAGATAGAAATATTTAATAACCCAACATGTTTATTGCTATACAAATAAAGCAGCTATTAACAATGTTATTATGCTACTTTTCTATGTTGTCACCATCCAAAATGATGTGCTCATTTTATCAGTGCATAAATAGTCTCCTTGAAGAACATTGGCATCAAATGACTGGAGCTACTATTGCACTTCTGCAACAACTGAACTGCTTCTTGGATAAAATCTATAATCCATTTAAATTGTCAATTTCAAGTCAAAATGGTATAAGTCAAGAAAAACTTCAGGACTTATCTTGTTGACAGATGATTCTGAGCAAACAACAGCAACAACTGCAAATTTCCCAATAAATGATGGAATATGCTGCTGTTTCACAAATTTTTCATATAACCAATTAAAATTTTATTAAAAATATTGACAACTTGTATTGAAGGTGTCCAGTTTTATTATACAAATTAAATTTCTATTAATTAAATATTAATGATACAGGCCCTAGAAATATTTAATGCTATAAGCACAATATCCAATATACCTGAATAAATTATTTTATTATTTTAAATTGTTTATATGGCCTACTTGACATTTTATAACATTCATCAGTATTTCATTCATTGATTTTGTTAACTTTTCTACTGTTTCAACTTGAACATGCAGCATATTTATTGTTTCTATGGTGGTTATTTTTATGAATGCATGTGGAGGAGAATGCGGGAAAATGTAATTATATATTTATATGAGTTATGGATGTTTTGTATCTTGATGTAGTAGCTTCTGCTTGATCATGTGGTGAAAGAAAGTATGTTTGTTTTCAATGTAATAAGAATGGTGTATCCATCTAGTCATGCAAATGTCATATTTTGTCTCTGGGCATATTACTATAACCACAGCATCAGAGAATGGACAAAAATTAATTTATCAGCTCTGGTTTTGGTTGATTTTCTATCTATTTATATACACATCTATAGATAGGCTTTGAAAAGGGCACACGCTTCTTATTGGCTTGCAGTCTTATATCCTGGTTATGAAAGCTTTTCTGTTTGGTTCATCGAACTATCTATTTTTAGAAATGGGGAAATCTTGGTCTCCTTGTTATTATTTGCTTATTTCTTTTCTTACAGCCTGGTTGTAAAAGCTTTCTTATTATGTGGTTGAACTATGGCTTTGTTTGTCTGGTGATTTTTATTATCCATCTATTTTTAGGGATAGTGAAATTTTGTCCTTCTTGTTATTTATTTTTATTTATTTCTTCATCATCATATTTCCCAAAGATCTTTTTTGCTTTACTATTGTTTTTCATTCTTATACATATCTTTTTTAATTAAGTTCTGCAAGTTTTCTATTGGATTAATATTTGAAGAAACTGAGAGCCATTCCATTAATTTGGTGTCTTTTTAAAGTTTTTTGTCAAGGTGGCAATAATCAGCTATGCAGAATGTAAAGGAGCATTGTCTTGCTTGAATATATACTTTAGCTTAAAATCTTATCCCTCAAAAAACATTTTGCCCAAGAACTTATAATATTTAACATTTATCTTGATACTATCATCAACATTGAACATACCTATAATTTCTTTATCTGAAATACTTTCCCAAAACATTACTTTCCCTTCTCTATTGTCTTCTAAGCCATATTTGTTTATTTCCATGAAAGACTCAACCTCTAGCCAGTCAACAGATCTATCCAGTGTAGTGTGACATTTGTCACTAAAAATTACTATTGAGAAATCAATTTTTATGCACATCATTTCCCATTTTACAAGTTTTTGCGATGTTTAGTTAATGGTAGCATTTTGGTTGCTTTCATGTCTTTAACCAATGTTCTTAATATTCATGCATATTTTCTCAAGTGGTATAGGGTGGGTTTTGAGCACCTGGAGAAATTTCAACTATTCCACCTTCTTATGAGCTGTTATAAATTCTAGGTTTGTACTTATTTTCTCAACTTAATTAATTTTTTTGTGACCCTAAAAATTTAGTGTCTGGGGCAATCAGCACTTGGGCCTTGCCCAGGCTAAGCCACTTATCAGTAATAGTACTTGGAGCAATACAACAAACTAATGTAATTAAATAATATGGTTTCAACTTCTTTATATACACAAATATATTTCTCACTGTAATTATTTTGTGAATTTTACCAGAAATGACCACTCACATATATAGGTTTATATTCTAACAATCATTAATTAGGTATTGTTTGTTTTACAGTTTGTTTTTTTTATTTTGCTCATTGATTTTTTTTTTCATTTTGATAAGGCTAATTTATTTAAATTTTGGTTGTTAGTTATATTAAGGTAAAATTTATTTTTATTTTACAGTTTATTTTTATCTTACTAGAAAAATCCTATCTACAAAAAAGTAATCTCACATGACTTTTTGTATTCACTTGCCAATTGTTGATTTTAATTTAGTAATTATATTTTTAACGAATTAACTGTTTAAAAACAGTGTCATTTTTTATTATTGATGGGAATAAGAAACGGCACCTTTACTATGCAGAATAAAGCAATACAGATACACATGCAAAAAAAATAGGTTCAGGAATATGATATTGAGTTCTTGGAGTGGCTGCTCAATTCACTAATAAAACAATCTGTAGAATATCATGAAAAGAAAGATTACACAAATGAAAATCACCACAACAGATCATCTGAAAGAAGCAATAAAGAGAATTTGGATGGAAGAAGTAAATGTTGATCTGTACAAAAAATGCCTGGATCAAAGACAAATACTTTCTTTGTATATACTTTCTTTTCAATTTTGGTTAATGCATATTTTTTGCTTAGTAAGTTTCAGCAGACAATAAAAGAAGGCAGTATTTTTAGATTAAAAAAAATTGTTTTCGTGATTTTTGGGTGAACTTTTGAAAACTTTTGTAAAACACTGTACACACTGCCATCCAAATTAGATTTTAGTTAAACATTTAAGTAAACTAACTTCAAAGTTTGTATTCAATTTAACATCATTAAGTACATATAATTATGATGTAACTGAAAATTTGTTCAGAAAATAAACAGATAAAAATTTATTTTTTTAGCTAATATGTTGCTGTCTGAAATTTTGAGATCATCTGATGATAGAGCTAATACAGTATGGCAGGTTTTGTCTAAAGGAGAACAAGTTTCTGAAGAAATAGTTTTTCAGTTATTAGAACAGAAAATCAATTCCCCTGAGGTTGGACATCATGGTAAGTACAACATTCTAACATTTTTTATAATAGGGTTACCATCATCCAATGTGTTTTTATTAGTTTAATTGTAGACTATTCTTTGGGATCATCATATTCCTTATTAATACTATTATATTGTACTCATACACAGTCACTGAGATGTATCAAAAGATTTAATCATGTCTGTGCAAAAAATTTTCAACTAAGTAGTATAGACTTTTGAAACATAAATTTGTGCATATATTATACTGCAATTTTAGAGAGCACAAATAAATTTTAACTAAATATCAACCAGATTTATATTAAAGATCAGGACACATGATTGATATTTCTATGACTATCAACTTTAAGCAATGTTTAAACTAGGTACCTTTGATAATTTGCTGAGAAAAGAGAATAATATGATGAAAAAGCACCAAAATTTATAAAAACAAAGTTCTAACATTAAAATGTTATTATTATGAGAAAAGACTGAAGTATTGTTTGATTATTTTATTAAATTTTTTAATTCTTTCTTGAACATTCAAAATTTTTGTTATGAATTTTGTTTTTTTTGTATCAGCAGGGGCAGCAAAGATTAGTATAGGAAATTTTAGCATCTTTTTTGCATTAAAAAGCACATTGAGTTGGAAATTCTTGCTGAAATCAAATAATTGTTGGATTTTAATGTAGCTTTCAGGACTTATTCAAAAATAAATGAAATTATTTTAGAAACTTTTTTTAAATCTTTTTTTCATCAGTTACCCCCCCACACATCACTACCACCATCCCACTTAATGAAATTTCCAAAAATCAAATTTTGCCCTTCTTCATATTTATATTATTTAAAAGCAAGACTCCTTGGAGAATGTAAATCATTAATTTTTCTTTCAAACGGTAACTCGTTTACTGAAAATTTGTTCTGAATCATAAAATAAAAAATACAATAAAACTGAGACATTATTTAAATAGAAAAGCTTTTAATTGCTTTGATAAATAAAAAAAATTTCAATGAATAATGAATTTTTACAAGATTTGTTTTAATTATTTTTTGCATTTTAATTAGAATAACTTATTAAGTTTTAAATATATTTTATCTTTTATTTAATCTTTAATTCTGTATTGATTTAACCCTTTTTTTTTTATAATTGAAAACTATTTACTGATCATAAATTGAAAAATCATCAAACACCAATATTTTTAAAAGAATTTTAAATTATTTTTTGTGCATGAATGTGCCGATTTTCGATATATGATTGACCATACATGACATTGTCAGAAAATAAGAATGATAGCTATAGTAAATTTATTGCCAAAAATATTTAAAATTCAATAAAATATTAGATTATGGAGAATATTTTCTTGAATTTTTAACATTACTGAGTACTTAAAAATTATATATAATAGGCACTCATGTTAATTCATTTACTTTTTTAATGCCTAAAGCCTCCATAGAACAACATTAGATAAATATCAATCTATCAACAAGCTGTCAAACCCAGAGAATGTCTTAAATAAACAGCTGCTGTTGAGTTAAAAATGCATTTATGTAATATTTTAAACTTAAAGTAAATAATAGTTATTTCGAATCAGATTAATTATACTTTAAATCAACTAATATTCTTCAAATAAAAAGTTTCAGAAAAGTATATTTTATTTTTGGAAGATTTTTTAATAAAGAGAATTACATTGTGATGACTAAAAAAAGGACACTAATCAGCTATTTTAGAATAAAAAAAAACAAACCTTCCTTCCAGTCAATATAAATTAGTTTTTGAAATACAGCAAAGTATTTTGCTTATTTATATTATTTACATTGTTCGGACCGTTGTCCTCATCTTTATTGGCATATTCACAATATTTTGGCCAATGTACATTCTGGCCTTCTTCAGATGATTGGAATTTCGGACTGAACCCTTTATTTTATCCACCAGAAAATGAATACAATATGGAAACCAGTAATACAGAATGCTAGAGAAATGCAATAATAACAACAAAATTGCAATATGAGCTCTGGTAAAAAATGATACTGAGACGTTAAGTTTATAAGTCCCAAAAAATCATACACTCAAGCATTGTTTGGATCCAGTAACTTGACCCAAAGAATTGTGAGTTCAATACCTGGCTACTGCAGTGGTGAACAAGAACTTGGAGAGTTGAGTTAAAGAGAGATAACTGAGACATCCGGAAGAGGAATAGCATATAGAACTAGAACAATCTACCCTGGTGGATGAAATAATGGGTTTAATTCAAAATACCAATCACCTGAAGAAGGCTGGAGTGTACAACAGCCAAAACATTGTGAATATGGCAATAAAGATGAGGACAACAGTCCAAATAATGTAAATAATATAAATAACTAGCAGTAGAGCCCGGCGTTGCCTGGGGATATAACAGTAAGAGATAGATCAAGTATCGACCATCATAAAGACTGAAAAATAAAATTGACAAAGATTATTGTTTAAGGTTGACGGACACGCATGTCTTAATTATTTTTTTTTTTTTTTTTTTTTTACGAATTGGTCAAACCCAAATTCAAACAAAAACATTGTTTTCAATCGTTATGAGTCTATCGATTGGTGAATAGAATTTTATTATAAACAATTGTCTTGTAAATGGAATTTTTAAAGCATTCTGAATGTATAAATAAAGAAAAAAGTGTGCAAGACAATAAGAAATACTACCTGCAAAAGTGGATGTTTGTTTTATCGGCTGAAAAATGTAAGAAATCCGATCCCATATATAAAGGAACACACACACACACAGACACAAACAATCTGGGTTTTTTAACCTAAGTCACTCCACGGAATCGCTAAAACATAGAGCATAGTCTGATGAAAAAGACGCCAAAGTTTATGAAAACAAAATTTTATTGTCAAAATGCTTATGTTTTTATGAAGAGGATAGACTAAATTTTTTTAATTATTTTTAAAAAATTTTTCCATCTTTTTAGAATATTCTAAATTTTGATTTAAAAAAACCTTGTTTCTCTTTGTCGCAACAAGGGGTAGTAAATAACAGATAATTTTTAGCGCATTTTTTTGTATTTACACACATTAATTTGGAAAATCTTGCAAAAATAAAAATAATTGTCAGATGTTAATGAAACTTTCAGAAACTATTCACAGATGATCGAAATTATTATAAATATGTTTTTTTTTTTTTTTATTAAAGTCATGGCAGAAATATTTTTTTATATTTATTAACACCCCATAACTAATTTTATGAAAAAACTCTAGAAATTCGAGACCATCGGTTTTAGTGATTACAATAGTTAAAAGCACAAAGCTTTGAAGAATGCAAATCATGTTTTTTTTTTTTGTTTTGTTTGGGCCAATGTCTGAAAATCAGCTGTGAATTGTAACATACAAAACTCAATAAAACAAATATATTATTTAGTTTCAAATGCTTTTATTTTTTTAATTTGTTTTTTATGAATATGGACAATATTTTCTGAAAGCAAAAAATTTTTTCAATGAAAATTGAATTTTTAATACAATTATTTCTTATTTCTTTAATTTTAAAAAGATATTTAAAAAAATTTTAAATTGAATTTTTAAAAATATTTTAACATTAGTTAAAAGCAACATCAACCTTTCAAAATGTCCGTGTGAGATTGTCATTGTCTAGCGCTTTGAAAATTGTATAATTTGGACCAATCAGCCATGGTAATTAAGAAATGTAATTTTTGTGTTTATAGTCGGACAGTAATTATCAAGTACGGAAGACCAACCAGAATACAATTTAGTTGCATTATTTGAGTTCAGCATTGTTCTCCGCTCTTACTTTTGTGAAACAGGTATGGAGAAGTTAATTTGAGTTTTCAATTTCAACTGAGAAGGGTACCTACAAGTAACAGTATCATCTTATGAAATATAACTACTGCTAAACTTTAATTTATATGATCTTATTTTTATATTGATCTCAGTTATGACATTTTTCCATAAATGAAATATCAAAATTAATAATAAAATGAATGGAAATACAAATAACACAGTAAAATGTAATAAATCTTCTAATAATACTTCTGATAAAATTTCATAAGAAAGGTACCTAAATTAATTAGATACCTTTTTCTTATGAAATTTAATCTCACTATTAACAGTCTTATTTTTGAATTTCTTTATATTTTCCATAAAGCATCGTAAACGTAAAAATGAAAGCTAAGTACAACAAAAAAAAATAAAAAATTAGAGCGCTGAAAGTTTTCCTTAAAAGTAATGAGGTAAATAATTTGTTCACTTAAATAATTTCACTTCCTTCCATCCGTAGAAAGAATTATCCTCCCGTAAGTTATATAAACGTCCTGAATGTGCCTTTCGTCAATCGTCAAGCGACGCGAAAGGTTATGACCTGCTTTGTTTTATTTTCAAATTACATTTTTTTACTCTTGAAGCTAAGTTAAGCTTGGTTCAAAATATTTTAAATAAACAGTATAATTTCTGTTTTTGTTAAAAATCAGTTTTGAAAAAATGATAATTGATTTTTAAAAGAATATCAAAGTCAGATTTTAATCTTTTTTATCAAATTGAAAAAATGATTGAAAATGATTGATTATCTCCTTTTTTTTTTTTTTTTTGAAAAAAATATTTTTAACGAAAATTTCAGACGTGCTAGGAACGATTAAAAAATGTAAAAAATACCCCAAAAATACTTTGATCTTTTCTCTTTAATAATATGAACATTAGACAATAAAATTTTGTTTTCGTCAAGTTCGGCTTTTTTTTCATCATGCAATGCTCTTTTGTTTACATTTTTGTGGGTGAGTTGTCCCCCTTTCATTCTCACAATGTGTCTTAATTGTGTTTTCACATTGATTTTGTTAAAAATTTTGTTTTTCCCATTTTTGGCACCGTTAGAACCATCACAAGGTAATTTTATGTAGTCCTGTGAAGTTTTGTTGAAATCGGCTAAAAAATGTAGGAAATTCGATCCAATATATAAACGTTACAGACACACACACACACACACACACACACACTCTGCGTTTTATAATAAGTAAGATTACAATACCTGATCTCAGAAATATAGACAGATATTAAAGTATTTTGCTTATTGGAAATATTAAATTTAGTTTATTAGCTTGAAATTAAAACTAAAATAAAAGCTTCAAGAAAAATTTTTCATTTTTAAAAATTCATTTTAAAACTTAGGTATCATATTTTTTTTTTTTTTAGATACTTATTTTAAACTTATGCTCTTCTATTAAAGAAGTAAAGCACTTTAAATCTCTGTCTTTTGATATAGAAAAGAGACAATGTTAAGGTTAGTGACAAAAATGAATGAATTACATTTAAGAAATTATTCAAATAAAAACCTCTTTATTTTTCAAATAGGGCTCTCTGTAGTTATCACTTTACAAAAATTTAATAAAATATTTGTCTTATATGAAGTTATTTATTTTTGTCAAATTCAATAATTACTTTGTTATACCATTTTCTCATTATCTTGATTTCTACATTAAATTTTTTACCAAAAGATGTTGTCATGTATGAGGTTAGGATTAATGACTTGAATTGTTATTTTCTTTACCACTTCTTTTTAAGGTTATATTCTTGATGATTATCCAAACATTTGTGAAGACTTCATGAATATCCAGGATCAATTAGAGCGAATGAAAACCTGGAAACTAACCCCAGACTTCATCATAAACTTAAGGGTAACATTTACATTATTTTGTATATTTCTGGGCATTTTATTCCTTAATTAAAACAATTTCAATAAGAATAAGTCAATTTTCTTTTCATTGTTCCTTCAATGATTTTGATACTATTCCAAATAATTTTTACATAATTATTGAGCCAACTGAAGTAACACATCAAAAAATACTGCTATCAAAAACTGATGTAATGGAATAACCGGTCACCCTCATAAGTGACTACACTATAGGTAGTAACTACCTATAAATAGCTGTAAGTCAAGGACTAGAGAGACTAGCCAAAATCTTTTTGGCTAAACAGTCAAACTCTCTGCCTTCAGGCATAGAGGAACCTGGACAAGGCTCTGCCAAAGGGCAGAGTCTCATTTGGGGAAGTTGACTGACCCTGAACCCATTTATACAGGTTCGAAAGGGAATATTTTTGGCCGAGGCTATGGGCTTGGAGAACCCATGTTAAACCCGGCCTTGTGCCACGTGCAACCCTCATGTGTGTGTGGGGGGGGGTAAATATACTAGCTGGGATCTTTCCCAGCTGTGCTGGTCAAACTCTCTGCCTCTGGGCAGAGAGGATCCCCAGATGAGGCTATGTTGAAGGGCAGAGTCTCATCCCAAGAAACAGCTACCTGATCCCATTTTATACAGGGTCTACAGGAAATTTTTGGCCAAGCCTATGAACTTGGATGACCCACGTTAAACTCAGCCTTGTGCCACATCTACACTTGTGGTGGAGACTAGTAAATATTGAATAGCTGAGATCTGTTGAGTATGACAGACTTACGTGAGAACTACCAACCTTCCAATAGTAGCACTCACAACTGGATTGACTTGCGATGACCTTGTGCATAACTGTTACCTTTATTCTTATTGTACTGGTTTTTTACAATAACCCTTTACTTATTTTATCCACCTTGTTTTTCAAATATATATTCCTATTAGCACAGAATATAGCAAAAACAAATGAACATAAGCAAACTCCTTGATAACATATGTACAGAGGTTTTGTCACTTCTGCATAATATAATTTTCTATTTCAAATGGCTGACACAAGCTCCTATAGTTTGGAAAAGTGGTTCTAACTTTTCTTCAAACTTTCAAACCACTCTGTGCTTGTCCAGCATTACATCTGAAAATAAAATGTGATAGATAATTATCAGACTTCCAGAAAATACAGCTTTTAAATTTCAAAAATTGGTTACATATCAAATTAGATAGAAAATGGATGGAGAATTTGATTTTTTAAATAAATTTCAAATTTTAGATTTTTTTTTTTTTTTTTTTCAGAATTTTAAATGAATTTCAAAAATTGGTCAAATATCAAATTAGATAAGAGAAAATGGATGGAGAAATTGATTTTTAAATAAATTTTTAGCTACTTGTCTTCATATATGCAAATTTTGAAAATTCATACATTTTGAGAATTTAAATAAGTAAAGATATATTGCTATTTTCTGATTATTTCTAGAATTTTCTAAAACTTCTTATTGACATAATTTTATTCAAAGTGATTCTTGAAGTTGTCATTTGAATGCTACATGTACAAACAGATTATTTTTAAAGTGCATATCTTACTGTATAAGAAAAGATGAAAATTTTAGCTTATTTTGAAGAGGACAACATTATTAGTCTTAGTGTACAATAATTGAACTGTATATCTGATACAAGCAATATTTTAGAGAATATGAAAACATGGCACTACAAAACAGCAAAGAAGAGCACTTAACTTGACTGTTGTACATAGGCCATCAGCACCTTCTTCATGGGTTATCAAAAGTTAAATAGTGCTCTAGGAGTCTCTCAAAGAAACGTGATCTTAAAATCACTACAAGAAGAGCCTGGCAAATTCCCAATAAATCTGGGAAACTTTGAATGTCAGTCCAGAAGGAAAATTTCTGCTTTGACTGATGCTCACAAGAAAATGCATTTTGTGGACTAAAGAAAAAGGCACTTGCAATCAGGAATAGTGGAAGAAGGTAGTATTAACTGATAAATTTGTGTAAATGGTCCTGATAGAATGCAATGCTGTTAGCACAATCTTCAGAAGTTTCTTTTCTTTTTCTAAACATTCATTTGATAGAGAATTGGTCAAAGAGAATTTTGTATTCCAGCAGGATAATGCAACCATTCACAATGTTAAAGTCACCAAAGAAATGATTTGAATTCAAAGGCATCACAGTTATGAACTAGCCTACAAACTCTCCAGATTGCAGTTTTCTTGAGAACTTGTAGGGCATCCTTTCAAGATGTGTCTATAAGCAAAAAGGCAATTTGAAACAAAAGAACAGTTTAATATTTTACATTGCTGAAATGAAAAGGAACATCTTATTATTCATTTCTATCCTTTCATGTTTAATTAAAAAAATGTTCATGATGTCTATTATTTATTAGTTCCATCTTCAGAATTTATGATTTGTCAAAATTTGTATGCATTGAGATCACTGAATTAAGAATTAATTTTAAAATCAAATCCCCCATCCATTTTAACATATATAAAAAAAGGCTTACTCTATTTGACAAATTGTTGTGGTTTACAAACTATATTTGTGGTGTATATTATAATTATTTCGATCACTATCTTTAATCTTGCCACCAAATTTTCATGTTTTTAATGTACATGACTAAAAATTTGTACCTAAATCACTTCTATTTTTACATTACCTTTATTTTAAACTCATGTGGATTTGTTATTGGGATATTTCTTAACAAGTTAAAAGTAGCCTCTTACTTTTGACTACTCATTAGAAGGAGGGATTAAACGGATGAGATAGAAAGTCTTTTTTGTTCACAACATGGAAGCAATGTACAGATAAATGATTTTTGTTTTAAAAAAAATGGTTCCTGTCAGCAAAAAGAGTTATTAAAGTTTGAGGAAGCTTTATTTAGTGTAGTAAAAAGGTTAGAATTCAGGAAGATAAAAAATGAATTTCAAAAGAAATTAAAAGATGATATAAGAAAAATTCAAATCAAAGATTTTTGTAAAAGATAATAAATCTATAAAATCTCATTGTATGAATCCAGTGGAATATAAGAAAATGTTGAAAGAAACTATAACTAAACAATATAAAAAGGCACTGAACATATAGAAGGATAGCTCAAATACAGAAGGAGGTAGCATTTAATTGAAATTTGAAAGTAGACAACTATTTTGGAAAAATAGAAAAAAAGCAGTCACATTGAAAGATCATAAGATGAATTTCAAAAATAGACTTCAGGAGAAGTTAATCAACCTGACAAAGAATGAGATGGGGAAGATTAGCAAGATGATATTGGAAAGAATCACAAACAAAGAATAATCTTAGAAGTTAATAGAAAACTACAAGAGTGGCAATTAATTGGTTTGAAGTTATTGATCAAAAAGACAAACGTAAGTTTGTGCAATTTGATATTTGGGATTTCTATCCTTCCATATCAGAAAATTTATTAAGGAGAACAATAATTTTAGCCCAATTTGTAGAAGTAAGTAATGAAGAAATTAGGATAATAATCTATGAATTAATATGAGTAGATAGGTTCACACTCCTCCCTGGTCTTTTGTACAGGAGTAGATATATATCCCTTGTATCCTGTTTAACATTGGGTTTCTGGTCCCTTCTAAAATCTTCTATTTCACTTCAGTAGCCATTACTTTTCCATAAAGATGAAATTTGAACAGAATAGATAATGAAATAGATGTAGGAATTGGAAACAATGTTGATGCAGAATTATCAGAATCAGTGAGAATATTCCTGTTGTGGAAGCTATCACAAGTATAACAAGAAAAATCTGAGTTTGTATAGAGAAGATGCATTAATGTTGATAAGAAGCAATAATAGTAGAGTTATGGACAAATAAACCAAAAATTTGGAAAGATTTTTTAAGAGTTACAAGTTATCAGTAGAAATAAAAACAAACTTGAATGAATTACAATCCATGAATGTATCGGTTACCCCCCTTAACTCTGCAAAAGAGCACTTGCTAGGGGCCACTCTTTAATAGGCAATAATATTCTCACTCACTTTCTCTTTTTAGTCCTTTTTTTACTCTGGCTTTCAGATATAGTTGTATTTATATTAACACTAGTTCTGACTCCCTTCCTGACAGTAGTCACTAAACACATACACAGGTCTATGGCAAGCATGTTGTTCACTAACTCAAAGTATATTAAAATATATAACAAGTTTAAATAAGAGTATGAAATAGCCTTGAAAAATAGTGTTCATAGGGCTTTAATAAACCAGTATAAAAGACAGCCAAAAGTAATAGGAGTCAGAATATTATATGATTTAATCCCCACTACCAGTAAAACTGTGAAGGTGAATGTTGATAGAATATTCTTTAAATTAATTAATGATCATTTTGCTGCATTATCAAAAATGAGTAAACTATTTAATAAAAATAACATGCGAGTCAATTATTTCTGTAATAGAAATATAAAAATGCTTATTAATGACCATTAGACCATTAGAAAATCACCTGATTAGGATTATAGCAAAAATGGAAGTATTAAAGATGGTAGCATGGAAGAAAAATTATATGTCATAGCTGCAGAGCACGAATGGAAAAAAGATATAAAATGATATATGTAAGTTATAGGAAATATAAGAATGCTACAGTGCTGTTAGTTTATTATCAAAAATGAATCATGTACAAGGGTTGGCTGATAAGTTCATAGGCTAACCAAGTTATAAATGTAAGTAGACACACCAATTGGTAGACTAAAAGACATGCAAGTGTGCCAGCTATTATATTCTGGTACCCTTGCATGTCTTTTAGTCTACCAATTGGTGTGTCTACTTACATTTATAACTTGGTCAGCCTATGAACTTTTCAGCCAACCTTCATACACTCCCTAAAATTGTAAAAGTAATGTGGACAAGTGTAAAATATATTTGCAAGAAATATTAGCAATTTTAGAGCTGACTGGCGATGATATGTTATTAAATAAAAGATCAGAACTGATGAGTAGGTGTAGGCATGTAAATAAATGCCTATTGCATCATCTGCCACCAGATTGAGGACATTCATTCCTATCCCTCCATCCCAAATTTTTGGTCAGAGTAAAGATGACAGGTGCACCTACAAAACTCTGGAGTTGGGATACTGAAGGTAGCATCAATCAGCTAAGTGACAAACTTTTACTCGTATCAATATTATATATATATATATATATATATATATATATATAGAAAGAAAAGAAAGTCATGCTAGACGCAATTGTCAGGCCACCTGACGATTGCATCTAGCATGAAACAGCCTGTCTCCTCTTTTTGTTGAAAAGATGTTCACTTTTATATTTACACAGGCTCTATCTCTGATGATGAGCACTTTATCCCATAAATATAGCATACCTTAAGAGTATATTTCTTTATTTATATATATATATATATATATATATATATGTTGTGTATGATACACCTAATTTACATAAGTGGAGTACCGACCATATAAATATGGGTTGGTACCGGAAGACGACGGAAGATTAAGAGATCGAATCCAGAGACTCTGCCCGACTGCGACTTAGTCAACCCATTCTGCAGGAACAGTCTTCCCAAGAATATACCAAAACTACCTGTAAATATTGTGTACCTTTTTTCATTGTTTCAATACATTTTGTTACGTACATTTTGTGTTGTATTATTATTATTCCATGCTTATTCAAGCTTCAACAATATATATAGCTGATATTCTGCAATGACTTTAAATTATCACTGTTTATAGAGAAAACCACAAATTTTGTTTATATTTTATGTTAATATAATTATCATAATTTACAATGATTAAGCAGTGTTCATTTCTTATATATTTATAATATATATAATGAATAAACAATGTTTATTTCTTATATATATATGTGTGTGTGTGTGTGCGTGTGTATTTTTTATATATATTTTTTATTTTTTGCGGGTGGGGAACTGAAAATTAGTAAGGAAGTTTACTATATTTATCATTCCTGGAGTTTAAAATATTTCATTCTAACAGAAACAAAGTTAGTATTTATCAAAATGCATTTTTATCATGTTCTTTTCACATTTTCAGTGCAGTATTTAATTTTGAAATCTTTTCTTCAGTTTTTTAATTTTCAAATGTAACTGTTTCACAAATTGATATGATAGGAATGTTTTCTCCTGTATTCAAAGGTTACTGAAAAGTTCTCAGCCAAGAACTTTCAGCACTTCCTTGTAAAGACATTTCTATGACTCCAACAAATCCTTTTATCCACTTCACTGATTTTTACAGTTAAATTAGAATGGCCATCTTGCTCATAATCTCAAATGGAATTGGCAGGAATCAAACATAGGCAAGAGAACTGAGGTCTATCAGGAATTAATAAAAAGCTTTATAAAAATAATAGATCTGAAAAGTAGATCTTTGTTTATTTTCCACATGGAAATGATTTATTTGTTATTGTATTCATACATTTTGTTTTTTTCATCATTTATTTCAGATACCTGATGAAGATTTGCTAACCAGACGTATTTCCCAGCGAATTGATCCACAAACAGGGACTATTTACACTGAAGATGTATACAATTATATAAAGCAAGATAAAAAGGTTGAATATTTCATTAAAATACAATATTATAAAGCTTAATAAAGCTAACAATTTTTATTATACATCCTGCGTAACAATCATAATTCAAATGTTTGTAGATTTGAATACCAAATTTAATTTGTTTACAAAATTATCATAAGCATAATTAATGTCTGATTCTGTTTTTAATTATATGCATGCATATAAGCCCCCTCCACACACGCACGCATATTTTTAAATATTTACATTAAATTAAGATAAGTAAGTGATGGGTGAAAATGATTTTAATGATAAAAAATAACTGTCTACATTTCAGAGATGAGGTATTGTAACTACACTATTTACATAATTCGGAATGTTGTCCTCATCTTTATTGCTGTATTCACAATGTTTCATCCGCTGTATGCTCTGGCCTTCTTCAGGTGGAATTTCAAACTGAACCCTTTATTTAGTCCATGGGCGTAGATTGTTTTAATTCCATGTTCCATGTTTTTTGGATGTCTCAGTTTCACTTAATTCCCTTTAGTAACTCAACTCTTTAAGTTTTTGTTCCCTGTACTTTAGCCAGGTATGGAACTCACAGCTCTTGGGGTCAAGTCACTTTTTGGACACATGGCCCAGTGGATAAAAGTGTTGGTTGAAGTAATTCAATGGTTGAAATGTTGTGAATATTGCAATAAAGATGAGGATAACAGTCTGAATGATGTAAATAGTGTAAACTGATAAAAAATAAATAAAAATCTTTTAATTCTAAATGATGAGTTTGAAGTTTATAACCCTTTCTTTTTCATTAAAATACAAAAAAGAACATTAGAAAAAATATATTCATAAAAATTCCTTAATATTCTTATATACCATATATGGTTACACAAAAACAAATGAAAACAACAAAGTACTGTTGGTGAGGTGGAAAGAAAAGGAAACAAGATATGTTAAAATAAAATTCTTTGTATTGCTGATATAGAGGATCAAGACAGAAAGTCTCTTTGTGGGCAAGGGAAGTGACCTGGAAATGAAGCTTGTGTCAGGTTAATTGACGAATGTTACTGTTGCTGCTGATGATTGCCTGTGACTGTCTTAAGTGTCATGAATGGGTTCTTTTAAGCAGTCATGACTCAGCATTTTTGTCATGCTTTTGTTTTTGCCATAATGGTCATGATTGGCTCCTTTATATTTTTAATTTTGCTTTTGTAGCATTTACATTCAGATAACAGGTTTTCATGTGGAGTGAATCAGAGAAGGGTCTAATTTGAAGTATAATATAATATTACCATATAGTGTTATATTTATTCAGTTTGTATACTTATACAAGAGTTAAAGTTCAGAGCAACACAATCGGCATACCTAAAACTCTCCTTGAAAGTGTAAATTTTTGGCATATAAACCTACCTTATAACCTGATTAAGTTTTTACTATAGGGTGTGGAGATATTTATCATAGCTGTCCTTTGAAACCATATTGAGCTGTTTTATCCAAAATTATGCTAGACTGGTTTGCTGATAATTATTGCAACTATAAAGTTTTCTTTTGAGTCTACAAGGGTCATTATGATTTTTGTAGGAAACAAAAACAAGTGAAGAAGAAACAGAGGAAGATGTAGAAGAGAATGAGGAAGAATCTGATGAAACTGAAGAACTTTCCCCTGAAATTGTTAAGAATCTTTTGACACGTCCTGAAGACTTACCTGAACAAGCAGATAGAAGTATTCAAAAATATAAATCAAATATGCTGAGAATAATGGAAGTGAGTAATATTTTTTTTTACTTTATAGTAGAAACTGTTTCACTTATCTATATATTGTCATTGAGGTGTACAGCATTTTGATATTTATGATAAAATATATCTATATCATTTCTGTAATTTCTATCATAGTCTTGGCATATAAGTATCATTATTTGTTCTTCTATATTACTTTCTGGGTAATCTTATTTGGCAACATCTCCTGTTAACAGCAGGTAAAACTGAAAAACTACAATGACTTATTTTAGCTCATTTTGTAGCATATTATTCCCCATTGTCATCTTTTATCTGATTCCTGGAAATGCATCAAATTAACATTTATCTTCAATTTCAATAGGATAAATAGCATAGCAGTTATGAAAAAGATTATGAAGTTTACAATTAACTGTGTTGTGGACTCTATAATCTCAGCTGTGATTGATGAAGAGGATAGTTCCATTTCAAAAGCCTAAAATGTCAAATCTTTAAAAAATAAAATCCAATATTTTAAAATAATAGATAAATTCATTAACAGGCCCATATCTAAATTTTAGTAAAAAGGCATAAGTATTTTAATAGGATCTAGTATTACAACAAAAAAAGAAGTTGTATATATTAGGCATGAAATCAGATTTTCCCAAAAGATTGTAGTTGGTATGTTACTATCAAAAGAATTTCTAGCACAGGAAGTTTGATACCTATATTATTTATTGGTGATAGGTAGACAGAATTAGATAAGTATACAAGACAAAAAAAACTTTAGACACAAAAGTTGAATATTATCATAATACAACTTTATATAGAAACTTGAGTAATAGCAAAGAAAATGGTAAGACTCTTATGTAAATTATGTGCCATAATAATGTGTATTTACATATAGGTAGTGGAGTCTGCCTTGGTTCTTATTAATAGAGTAAGAATTTACTCAACAGAGCCACCATTAAATATTTTGATGGTCACAATTTGTAAGGGTGAAAAGTGTATAGAGTAGAATTTGGTTCAATCAGCATGAAATGGCTCTGCAGTACTCTAATTAACTGAGAGTGTATGAGAGAAGATTTTAGTGTTCCTTTAGTTTTCCTTAACTCATAGTAGCACTAACAAAAAGAATAGTAAGCAACACTAATAAGTGATGGCAGAAAAACAACTTTCAAAGGATTGCAAACAACAAGAGTTAATTTTAATGACAGTAAGAACAAATTAAATTGAAATATGTACTCTACACAATTGAAACAATTTGGTTGATACATTTGGAAAAACAGTGTTATTGATAAACTTAATGGATACATAATTTATGCCAGAATTTTTGAGATGAGAAATTATTATTATTATTTGCTTCTTCATTCAGACTAGTATATTCATCTTGGTTGCTATAAACTCAGGCTTAACTGATTCAAGGTATTCCCTAAGTAAAATGAGAAAGGTTTGGCTCAAAATTTGAAGAATGTAGTAAGTATAACAGCTGAGAAAGTACAGAGAGTACTGTATCTAAAATGTGAATATAACATCCAAGATGAGTACATTCGTATGAATGGAAAGGCATATATTAATGGATACATCTTTTAAAGTTCATCAAGAAGCAAAATGTTCAAACATAAGAGGTTCATTTGTGTATAGGATAAAAGATGATACATTGTTGTGCATAGCATTGAGTCATGTTGACATCAAAATGCTGACTGATTAACAAAGTTCAAGATTCATTATTTATAACTCTTTTTAGAGGCTCCAGAAAAAATTATTTTTACAATCTATGTTCCTTACTTTTATTGGTTGTAAAATATTATTTGGTTTGTGCTGATTAGTGAGATTTTATTTTCATAATTGGTATAAAATATTTTTTTTGATATTTTGATTTTACCTTTTTTACAAAAGTTTGTTCATTTGCTGTCTCTAAACAATTGTATTAATTTTCAGTGCTATAAATATCAGCTATAGATATACTAGATACTCTATTAAAATAATGAGAGTATAGTATTGATATCTAATAATATATATATGTTTTAAAATACTTTAGCCAGTGGACACTCCTGACTGACTTGGTGATGATACAGTGTGTGGCAGAAATGCCTCCCACATATGCCTCCCAGATAATAGTAAGATGTTAGTGGCAATGCTGTCTTCATCTAGCTAATGTCTTACCATTATGTGGGAGGTATATCTGCCACATCCTGTATTATATTTCTATTGGGATTGCTGTTCTTTGATTATAGTTCATCTGTGTTCACTTTGGATGCTAGCTATATGTTTAAAGCAACATTACTCTCTCTCTATATATATATATATAGATAATGTAATGTTGTCCTTATACTTTATGCTAAATGGAAAATTTATTCCAGCTTAATAATAAATATAAACTAATCATAAAGAGATTGCTTCAGGTATGAAACAGACAATGCTGATATCTATGTCCACAATGTTTATAACTGCAATCTCCCTATCCCTGATATTGAGCATGCTTCCCCCATGAATATAGCAATTTTTAAATTATATATGTGAATATTCCATATTTTTTTTATTTATCAGGTCATTCCATAAGTTCTGTCCAAATTTTTTGTTAAAATGAATGAAATTTAAAGAGTATTTTATAATGTCTAATGGAGCTGAACATTATTTTTATGTTTAGATGCATTTAAACTGATCAAATTTTATTTCAGAGAACAATAAAATTAAATTTTGTTTGATTAAAATCCTGCTAACATGGAAGTACCCAAGAATCATTTGAAGCACATAATGCTTTATGAGTTCAAGAAAGGAAACTCAGCAGCCAAAGCGGCTAGAAACATTCACTCAGTTTATGAAGAGGAATGTGTGAATGAAAGAACTTGCAGAAGATGGTTTGCAAAATTCAGAGGTGGAGATTTCCCCCATGAAGATGAAGATCGAACCGGACGTCCAGTTGAGTTTGATGAAAAGCTTCTTGAAGCAGCCCTTGAAGAAAATCCTGCTTTATCAGTTGAGGAATTGTCAGTGATTCTCAGTTCAAACCATGTTCATCGTCATCTTCAACAACTTGGAAAAGTTCCCAAACTTGAAAAATGGGTGCCTCATGAATTGTTTGAAAACAACCTCAAATCCCAAGTTGACATCTGCTCTTCTCTCCATTCTCGCCAACTTGTTTCACCTTTTTTGGATAGACTTGTGACTGGCAACGAAAAATGGATCTTTTATCGAAATGTTAAGCGTCGTAGACAGTGGCTTGGTAAAGGGAAGGACCCCAGCCATAGCTAAGAAGAGAACTTCATGGGCAAAAGGTTCTTCTTTCAATCTGGTGGGATCACCAAGGAATAATCCACTTTGAGGAAAAAAAGACCTGCTCTAGTGAATCGAAAAGGGGTGATATTTCATCAGGACAATGCGCAACCCCACACAGCAAGAATCACATCACAAAAGGTCGAAGAACTTGGTTGGGAGAAAATTCCTCATCCACCTTATTCTCCCAATCTTGCTCCTTCAGACTACCATTTGTTTCGTAGCTTACAGAATCATTTGGAAGAAACAGCTTTTGTAACACAGGAAGAGGTTAAAACTGACATTTGTGAGTTCTTCAAATCAAAGCCAAAAGAATTTTACAGTAATGGAATTAGTAAGCTTGTTAATAGATGGAAGGAAGTCATAGATAATCAGGGAAAATACATTGTTGATTGAATCTGTAATTACATGTAACATTTGGTCACTTGTTTTCTTTATTCAAAATTCGGACAGAACTTAGGGGATGACCTGATATATCCGGTAGATAATAGGTAAAAGACTTTTTCTCTAGGTTTGTTTTTATATTCATATTACTAATATTAATTGCAAATAAATCTTGCTACCATTAGGAATACATGATTGATTATGACCGAGATCATGTCATAGAGCTTGATGGTAACCAACCAGTTGAGGTCTTAGTTCAGGTAAGAAAAACTTTTAAATACCTTTTTTGTTTATATCTTTAAATCAATAAAAAAAAAACATTTGGAAGTATCACAAGGTAGATGTTCATATTGATATCATTTTTCTAAATTCTTACTCTATAGATTTAAGCTATTAATTTTTTTTTCTTTGTTTGTGGGGAGTTGGAGACTTTAACCAAAAAAAAAAAATGCAACTCATGTTTGTTTACTTTTTTCTTACATATATATATATATATATATTTTAGCATATATGTATATAAGATGCATTTTATTAGACTTCCATCAAGATATAACTTATATAAATTTGCAATTAAATATATTTTTGCTGTAAAGATGTTATAAATAATTTTTAGAAGAATCATTATCATTCTAAGAATATTTTTTCAGCCTGGTAATTTTTCAGATACATAGCTAGTACTATTTTATTACGTTAAAAAGATTATCATGTTCTATAACATTGATATTTTAATAGCAATAACCAACACTTTTATAAAATAGCATCTAGATCATCGAAAAAATCTATTTGTTTTTGCATTGACATATAAGTATATTTTACAAATATTTATAGTGGTGTTGTTTATTGTGTCATAGTCACAATTAATATAGTAAATAAACTACCAAAAATTCTGATAAAGTTTAAAACTACAATTTATACTTTTACAACAATTTTTTTGTATGTAAAGGATTTGTGTAATTTGATTTTCTGTGGATATATCTTTTTATAGTAAATAGTCTTATTTGAAATAATTGTAGAAATGGAAATGTGCCTGATAATAAGAAAGTGCATACATTTTAGTAAATATTATTCAGTTTACAAGAAAAATATACAAGTATATTGACTTAAAGAAGCTACTCTGTTTCAGTGGTTGTTGACTCTTTTCATATCTAGCAAGTGAAAATAAGCACTGTAAAACATATAATTTTTTCTTAACAATATTCCATGTGGAAATCTACAGTGTTAATATTAATACAAAAATATAGAAATTAAAATGCAAGTATGGTTATATTCGTTTCATTCTTTTGTCCTTGTTATACTACTATTTTCTCACTTCTTTTTCACTTCTTCATGTTTGATTGCACATTACCAATAAATTCTAATTTCCAGCAAATAATAACCAAATTGCAACTTTTTGGTCTGGCTCCTGCGGCTGTGCTGCAACGTTTGTATGATGAAGATGAAGAAGGAGAAAATGCAGATGAGATTATTGATATGGATGATATGATGAAACCATACAGTGTAAAAAAGATAACAGCTTCACAGTATCCATGGAGGAAGAGTCGATGGGGTAAAAATTGTCCAGTTGCACTTTATGAAGGCAATGTTATACCTGGTAAAGCAGAATATGCTGTCAGGTATGTCAATTTCATTAGTTAATTCTATACTTATATAAAATTGAATTTAAAAATATAATTATTTTTTTTATTGATAATAATATTGCAATGACATTCTCTACATTAGGAATATTTCCAAGAACTAGATTGCTTTTTCTTTAGGAAGAAGTTGAGAACTAGTTAAAATTATATATTCTTTTTTTTTTATTTTTAAATGACTTGACACTACAACAATGTATCAAGTCATAATTAAACCTTTTTTGTTTGTTTATTTAAACAACTAAACAATATAAACTTTCATGTTTTTATTTTTTTTATTAGCTAATATTGTAAATTACATAATGAAAAACAAAAAAGAATGGACATAATCCAGAATCTAACTTATGAGCAATCACTTGAAAAAAGTCAAATCAAACTTATATACCCAAGAGATCACAATTTCTCTGAACTTTTTTTTTCAATTAAAATTTATTAATATTTTAATTGTTTAATTTTAGCTTAAATTAATGAGTGGTACCAAATTAACAAAATTATCTAGTTGAAACACTGAAATTTAATTTTATAGATGTTTCCAAGTTTTCCTGAGTTTCTGTGAATTCCTCATCTTGAAATTAAATTCATATTTTTATTGAATGCATGGATCCATCATTAATACTAAATTAACAACATTCAACTTCATATCATACATTTTTACAAAATTTCCAGCTCACCTAAATGAACACTAATAAATATATTAAACATAATCATGAATGTATCATTAACATTTATAAGTAATTTTTTTTCAATATTGTTATACTGGAACACACCTATTCTATTGTTAATAGACTCTCCCACCTATAATAAGTAGAAGTAGTAGCAGTCGCTGAATCAGTAGCTGAGTGAGTTGGTCAGTCAGTTGATGTCGGACAACCGTTAGTCGGATACTAAAAGTATAGCGACCACCACTAGATATCTCTGCGTCATTAGCTATCATATCAAGTTCCTAACGTTTTATACGTCGAACCTTTTTAGGACCGACTTAGTAAAATACAAGCCTCCACTGTGAAACAAATCTACAACACTTGGCGACGATGATTTGAAACTCATACGTAAAAAAAAAAAAAAAAAAATTTGTTCGCTATATACAACACTTGGCGACGAACGTATTCGGATTCATACGGGCGAAGAAAAATTTTCGTTCACCATACAACACTTGACCACGAGGATTCAAACTCATACGGTGGAAGAAAAAAAAAAATTCACCTGCCATAACAAACTTGGCATACGAGGGATTTAGTTTCATATGGTGAAAGAAAAAAAAAAATTCGCTCACAACATTATTTGGTGACGAAATTCGTACTCATACGGAGGAAAAAGAAAAAAGAACTTGCTCATCAAATTTTCGGCAACATCTCAGATTCACATTTAAAAAAAAAAAACTTGGCAAAGTTTTTCGAAAGACGATGTCAACTTAGTGATGAAAAATCAGTCGTATTCTCAACTGAGAAAATTTTTTTTCTCGATAAGACAGTTTGCTCAAATAGGTCACGAATTACAAATTCGTTTAGGACCCCCTCTCTACAATATTTAAGCATTGTGTAAACTTTTTGCGAAGATGGAGGAATGCAAGAATATATTCCAGGAATTTTTTAAGTTCCAGACGGAACAACAGATGACAATATTAGAGCAACAGAAAACATTCCAGATGCAACTACAGGAGGAAACTTTTAATAGACAAATGCAGTTTCAATGAGAAATGGAGCAGAGGCATAAGGAATTTCAAAACAAAATTCTGGAAATAACTGAGAAGAGGAAAGAGAAAAATCTACAAAATGATTCTTTCTCAGAGAATACAATATGGAATTCAATTGAAATATTCATGTACAGTCCAGATAAAGAGATAACTTTTGAACAGTATTATAAAAAATATACGGACATGTATAACGAGGACTGTCATTCGTGGTCTGAAGGAAAGAAGTTTAGACTTCTTTTAAGCAAGTTAGGAACTGCTGAGCATAACAAATTGGTAAACTACATTTTACCGAAAAAAACTAGCGAGTTGACTTTTACCGAGGCGGTAAATATATTAAGTGAATTATTTAGTAAAAAGACATCTTTGTTTCACAAGAGGTGGAAATGTTTCAATCTGATGAAAGATGACGAACAAGACTATATAACGTACGCAGCCAATGTGAATAAGCATTGTGAAGAATTCAAGCTAGCAGAATTAAGTGCTGACAACTTTGTGCTTAGTGTTTGTTCATGAGCTGGTATTGGAAAGAGGTGCAGAGTTGAGGAAATTAGTACTGTCAAAATTGGAAAACAAAGCAAGAATTTTGATACAGAAGTTGGCAGAAGACTGCACAAGATATGTTAGCGTAAAGAAAGATTCGAAAAAGATAGAACAGTCTGGCATTTCGCATGTAAGAAAAATATGTTACAAAAAAGAAAGTCAGTCTACCAGAAAGAATTCTAAAATTGCGAATTATCAAACAAAAAGTGAAATACCAGAGAAAAATAAACAAAAACTCCTGAAGCCATGTTTTGCTTGCGGTGAACTTCGCTGGTACAGATATTGCAATTTTAGGAATAAAAAATGTTTCAACTGCAAAAGCTCGCACTGCAGGTCAAAAAATAAAGACAATAAAATAAGAAAATTAAAGTTCGATGAGGTGAACGCTGGAATAACCAGAAAATTTGTTACCATCGAAATAAGTAATAAAAAAATAAAAATGCAACTTGACACTGGTTCCAACCTATCTATCATAAATTTGCATACGTGGAAGAAGTTGGTGAAACCAACTTTAATGTAAACAAATAAAATCGCGAGGTCAGTGACAGGGAGAAAAAATACAATTTATTGGAGAATTTGTTACAAACGTCACGTTAAATAAAAAAATGTGAAAAGCTAAACTATTTGTCATAGAAAATACCACGAACTTACTTGGTACAAATTGGATAACAGAATTTCAATTATGGGATCTACCGATAAATTCTTTCTGTTACAAAGTAGAAAATTTAAACTACGAATCCCAGAAATCAGTAAGGAAACTTAAGGAAACATTTCCTACTGTTTTTTCTCCGGGTTTGGGATCGTGTACCAAAATGGAGGCAAAATTCTAGGCAAAAAAAAAACGCTCAGGCCGTATCCAAAAAGAAAAGGAATCTGCTGTTTGCTTCAATTGAACAGATAGATAAAGAATTAGACAGATTAGAGAAAACGAATGTATTTAAAAAAGTTGAGTGGGTAAAAACAAGCTTCAGAATGTAAAGATGAAATCGACACCGAGAAAAACTGGGGAACGAGTTACCCGCAGCCAAGGACATGCAGTATTATTAAATGATTTAAGTCAACAAGAAGAACCTACAGAAACTGACTCCATCCTTAAGAAGCTCAAAGCGGAAGATTGTTTCTGGTAACACTATAGAGGTATAAAAAAAAAATAGAAAGCGGATTGGCAATATGATGTACTTGGTGAAAGGTGAAAAATTCACGTGCAGTAACCAGATCAGATGACATTTTTCGGACATGGTTGACAGCGATCCCGCGGAAAAAACGCTGATGGAGGTGATTTTCCATATGTTTGATCTAACAACACCTGCAACAATTTTACCTGAGGTACGCCGATCCAGAAGAAAAAAGAAAGGCAATTGATCATTTGAAAGTGGATCAAAAAACGTAGGAAATATGCTACGATGTTGCTAAAAACAAAAAAAAAAAAAAATTTTTTTTTTTTTGTTTTTTTCTTCATATTTCCTGTAAAAAATGAACAATAAATAAATAAAACTTTTTAATCCTACGGAGTAAAGTTTTAGGGGGGGATGTTATACTGGAACATACTTATTCTATTGTTAATAGACTCTCCCACCTATAATAAGTAGGAGTAGTAGCAGTCGCTGAGTGAGTAGCTGAGTGAGTTGGTCAGTCAGTTGATGTTGGACAACCGTTAGTCGGATACTAAAAGTATCAGCGACCACCACTAGATATCTCTGCGTCATTAACTATCATATCAAGTTCCTAACATTTTGTACGTTGAACCTTTTTAGGACTGACTTAGTGAAATACAAGCCTCCACTGTAAAACTACTCTACAACAAATATAAAGTATAATATTTTGCCATTACTTGATTTATGCCCTGAATGGGATTTGACTGTTAAGGTTGATTCCAAGATTAACAGCTTTCTACTGCTACTGGGCAAGTAAGTTAGTGATAGAAGAGTGGTTTGTCCAAGTGTTCACTTACCTACTTCTTTTTCATCAACCATTATGACATGTCAATAATAATACATTTTGACAGAAAGAGATTCATGCCTTTTCAAAAAGAGTGGGGGGTGTCATGCACATAAAATGCAATAAATAATAAAGTGCATATTATATAATTCTATTATTAATTTAGTTATTACATTTATACTGTAAATGTGACTCGCTCAACATAATGCAGAATCAGTGAGAGCCCTGAGCTTGTTTGTCTGCAACAAAACTGTCATGTCTAGGGGTGATGGGAGATAATAACACATGAAGTGTGTTTCTTATGTTCAATTTACTCCATAGTCTTGTTTTGGTTGCTGTCACTGTAGAAAACCACACTTCACTAAGATAGGATGTTGAAAGTGGAAGCAGGGTTCTCAGTGTTTTTGTGGCAATCTCAGGATATTCCACCTTGACTTTAATCCACAACGTTGGGAGATTTGAAGTCTGAAATATACTTTTATGGCCACTATTATTTGTGATCTCAAGCAGTTGGTTTTCTTCTAGCATGGACAAGGTTGATTCACTCAGTTTGTTCACAAATGGGTTGCGAATCCATTCCTTCCTATTTTGGGAGTCTTTTAAAAGATGAGACAGGTGATCATGCAGTAGCTGGGAAGAATGAAGTCTCAGGCTCAGTCTCTTCCAAAATCCCAGCTAATGTTTAAAACATGTCAAACACTCCTATTTTGCTGTCCCCACACTTCCAGCTTGGCTTTGAATGCAGCAACTTTATTTGCCAATTTGAAGACCGTTGTCATTCTCCCCTGAAGTGGCAGATTGAGTTCATTGA